CATATCCTCTCTGCATATAGCGGAGGTAAATGTAGGCCACTCACCTAGCTCAGCTCACAATGGTCACCTACTTCCCACAATACTCAGTCAATCTTCCTCAAGCCACTCCCTCACTGAATAAAAACCGGGTGAAGGGGGCTGGTGAGACGGCTCAGTGGTCTAAAGCACCTACTTAGAACAAGCTTAGCAAAGCACAGGGACCACGGTTCAATCACCCAGCACCACATGCCCGCCAGCCCCGCCCCCTGGTGGGCTGAGGTGGCCACACACACACACAAATTAAAAAAAAAAAAAAAAAAACACCGGGTGAGGCCCTGGGTTGCTTTTTGTTCCGGGAAGCCATCTTCGTGTTTGAACTTAGAGCCCCTTGACTCCTGAATGATTGAAAATATAGCGTCTTTATTTTCGCTGTGGGTTGCACTGTAAGTGGTAGATTGGAATCAACTTGATGGGATTCCAATAATGTAACTTTGGGATCATAAATATTGGCTTCTTGGACCAAGACAAGGACCTGGAAGTGACTCTTACATGGCACGAGCGGGACCGTAAGTGTCTCAGTCATGTGGTCAACAAGGGAAGGGGGAGGGATGACCTGGCTGTACACTGAGGTTGGGTTTGTGGGGTGTGTACTGTGGAGGGAGAGAGAGCTGAAAGAAAAGTGGAGTTTTTGGAGGAGGTCTCTCCTTCCCATGAGAGGTATGGGACAGGTTGGGATCACAAGGAAAGTACGAGTGAAGAACAGTGTCTGAAGTCAGCAAGGAATGGGCCTGTCTGAAGGGGTCATGTAGGTCAGCCATCAACACCTACTATTGAGACTGTAAAGCTACTATAATGATTTTAGACCTCAGGATGAACACTGTAAGTGGTCTCTGTGTCAGCAAGAAAAGTTTTACTTGAGATGTCCAGTGAGACTTGGGATTCTGACATAGGTACCTTGATGGGGGCCATGGAACCCAAGCTCTGTTGTTGCTCTTCAGCAGCAAGACCAAGCAGGTCAAGCATTGATGGCTCTGGCTGTAGTAAGGTTTCCCGTGAGGGCAGGGAACTGGATGACTACCTGCTCTCTGGCGGACAGGGCAGCACTTGGCTCGGGTGGCAGCACTGTTTAGGCTCAGCATTACGTTGTCAAGGTCCTGCTTTGATGGGAGTCTCGAGTGTTGCAGCCAAAAGTTGGCAATGTGTATAGCTAATTTTGATCTCTATTATTGAAGACACGGAAAGTTAAATTAAATAAGATTTCCTGTGGGGTTTAAGGGCCAAGATCTGTCTTTTTAGCTTGGCATGAATGTCAGGAACAAATAGGGATATAAAATTGTGATTCATAACAATTGTTTTTTAGGAAAATGTGGGTCTAAACTAGTATACTTAGTCTGGAGCAATATATTCAATTATTATAATTTTATCTGAGTATCAAGTACCTAGAAATATAAAGTGTAACCAGAGAACTGTTATTTCTTACCAACCATGGACATCTAAGCAGGTCAATCCCTGTAGAATGTTACCAGACAACAGCTCTATGCTTTCATAGAGAACAGTTATAACGGATGATGCAATCTCCGTCTTGCTTTGGCCTCTCTCAATGCAATGGCGTATACGCAGCATACATGGCACCTAAGTTTTAGTGAGAAATTATCGTGACTGATGACCTCATGTTGGCTTGACAGGAACCTTTTATTATTAATACCGGGAGCATAAGAGAAAGGCATGTGTTTAAATCTGACAGAAAATTTACATTGTAGAATACTGTAATTTGGAAAGCATGAAATATATTTAATATATTGAGCATCCTTTATGAGAAAATCTTATTTTAATTTTTGAAAAAACTTTATTTTAACCAATGACCAAATTATTAGGAGTGCCTTTTAAGGAAATTATGGGGTGGGGCTCTCTATTGATGAACAAAGGTTGGCCACCCTTTATCCACCAATCAAGAGTCCTGTCTAATAATCTCTCCCTATTGCAATGATTTTTATTTAATTATAAGTTAATTTTGATATCATTTAGATCAGCTGGCAACTCAGGAGAAAGCATACTTTTAAGTCTATATTTCAGAGCTCATATAAAGGAACAGCTTGTTTTATGTTTATAGAATAACATAAAAACAAACAAGTACACACAGAACACACGAACATCTTTATAAAATCAGTGCACTCAAATATATTTTTGACCAGGTTAAATTATGATGACCTTTTTAGGTTTGTAATTATGTGTGACTAGTCAGAACTTTTGTAGGTCAATTAGCAGAGATTTCTTGTAAGAATTTGAAAAAGGTAAAAACCTCTTATTTATGGTTAATATATATGTTGAGGTCTAATATAGTGTATCAGGAGCAAGCAAACTGAGCAGGGTGTAAGGATTAGGCACAGCACAATAGAGCAGCACTGACAATGTGCAAGTCGCTGACTTGTAGGCTGGCAGAAGCTGCGCTGCTTATTAGGGCTGTGTAGACCACAGTCACAATCCACAGAGATGGGGGGGGGGGGATGAGCAGCAGACTCAACTGGGAAGGGCAGTGGGTGCTCCCTGGCTGGGCTGTTATCTTGGCTGTAGCTTGATGGATAGCAGAGGGAGGGACACAGGCTGTTGGGGGAAAAAAGTGTTAAAGCGAAAAACCTGAAGGAAAAGACTGCGGTTATAAGGGGAGATGGGCAGGGGGGAATGTGAGGAATGTAGACTGGCTGAAAGTTGAGAGGTCAGAAGGTGAAGTGGCAGCTGTAGTGGAGGTGAGGGCAGTGGCAGCAGTGGGTAGGCAGCTGCTGCGGTGGAGAGCAGGGCGGTGGAGGGCAGGACGGTGCTCTGGCTGTTGGTTCTGCCGGTCAGGGGTCAGATCGTTGGGCGGGGGAGTTGTCTTGGTTTAAACAACTGTGGAAAGAGATGGGAGTGAGGAAGTAACAGTGGGGTGAGAGGCCAGAGCAGATGAAAGGAGGTGGTGCTGGAAGCTGGGGAGACTGCAGTGGAGGAGGCTGAGGAGCTGCAGCTGGGGGGTTAGGAGCAGCGCCTCCTAGAGGATCTGAGCAGCAGAGGGAGGGGCCCGGGCAGGGCAGTGCGAGCTGAGAGTATCTGGGCCCCTTTGTGCCGTTGAGGGAGGGAGGGACGTGTCCTCAAAGAGAAAAAAGACAGAATATAGGGGATTTTTTTTTTGCCATTTGCTGGTGAGGTGACAGAAGTCTTTTAAACTTTGAAGAATTCGTGGATCAAAAGTTTTTTCTATAGACCATTGGGTTTTACCATTGAATTTATGTTGTGGCCAAGCTGTTTGCCTGCATAAGATTAATCGCCGTGGTTTTATAGCCTCCCAGAGGCCGAGGGAGCCAAGATTACGAACCAGGCATCCCAGTGGAGTGTCTCTGGGAATGAATATTTCCAATGGCAATGGCAGTGGAATGTTCTGAGTGAAGGATATACACCCCAGGAGAGAACAATTCCCGAGGGACCGAATTAAGGCTGAGCGGACTTCTAAGCCTGGGCAGCAGTCATCACTAGCTCTCAAAGGTAAGAGAAAAAGCGAAGTCCCCAAACCTTGGTCCCTCCAGTTGTCACCAGAGGTCAATAGGGAATCCCTGGGGGGGGGGGTTTACCAGGGATGGTTAGACTTCCAGATGCAGGGCCCGTGAATTTCCGAAGATGGCAGGCGAGCGTTCTAAGGGAAAGGTATACACCTAAGGCAAAGCGAAAACAACAAACCCCTGAAAGAGAGAACCGGGAGCCGGAGAGCTCAGGCTCCCCGTCAGATGTGAGATGGACCAGTGTTGCATGCAAGCTGGCAATGGCAAATAGGCAGATCCCGGAGGAGCGAAGTTGGCCGATAGGCAGAGGGGCTCGGGACTGGCCCCCAGGAGCCTCACCTACTGTTTATCTATCCGAGTCATGGCACCAATATGATAGATTTTTTTTCAGGTAACCGGCACAGCAGAGAAACAGGCAGAAGGAAAAGTGGAAAGGGGCTTTATTTCCTTTGAGGACACGGAGAGAATTTGGGGAAGGAATTCTCTCGATTGGGACGAAGGGAGGCTGAGGCTTTCATGGCCTTTTGCCAAGGGTGGAGTTTGGAGGGGATGTCTAGATATACCTGAGGGCGCTGATTGGGGGTCTTCCCTGAGGTGGCAGGAAGGGAGGAAGTAAACCACACCCTGGGCTGAGTTGGAGAAGCAGGTGGTGGGCTTGGGAAGGTTTTTTTTTTTTTTTTTTAAAGGACATGGGCCATATTAGATCACCACCATAATCATTTTAGCACTTCATACTAGGGCCATAACCTATCAATATTAACCTAATTTATTTATCGTGGATTTTTCACTATATCGTGGGACTGTGCAGTACTGTATAGTAAACATATGTCGTTGAAATTACATAGATTTGGGCCAGGGAGATGGCTCAGTAGAGTAAGTGCTTGCCTGGCAAGTACAAGGTCCTGAGTTCAATCCCCGGTACCGCCAAAAAAATAAGCAAACAAATTACATTTCTAATGCAGCGTTACAGATACTTGGCACAACGACAGCGATGGTAATCCCAGCACTCCGAGACTGAGGCAGAAGGATCCCAAATTCTACCCCAGCCACAGCAGCTCTAGACTTCGAGAGATTCAAAATAAAAAAAAGGCTGAGAATATAGCTGAGTACAAAACTACGGACATCAATCCCCAGTACAAAAAAAACAACAACACGAAACAGCAACCTTTCCCAGGAATTCTCACTCGGCCCCCTTGGCTTGCCGAGTTCACTGGCTCGGTCAGCCTCCACCCGGAACAGCAACATCTCGGCCTGGGCAGCGACCCGGAAAGCCACCCCCTGCCGCTCGGGATGCTCTGAAGGACAGCTGGAGCTCATCCTGGCAACGTTAGCACCGCCGCCATCCCCCGCCGCGCAGCCAGAGTTCACCCTTATTGCTGCCCACCTACAACCCACTTTTCTCTCTTTCCGGAACTCAAGCGGCTTTCCGGCGCCCGGAAGTGGGTCATCAACGCGCAGGAAGTTATGCGTCATCACCCTGCGCCAGTCGCGCACGCGAGCGTGCCCCGGCGTTGGATCCTCGGTAGCCCGTGTGAGAGAGGAGCTGCTGTTGCGAGCCGGGTCGCTTCTTCTCTGCGCAACCATGCAGGTCTCCAGCCTCAACGAGGTGAAGATTTACAGTCTCAGCTGCGGCAAGTCCCTTCCTGAGGTGAGCCTGCGTTTTGATTCCCTGCGCTCGGAAGTCTTTGGGGTCTTCTCGCGGGTTCGCCTCCCCGCGCCCCGGCCCCGACTCTGTTATTCTCGGACTTAAGCAGCCTCCAGCTCCGGGAGGCCCCGGGTGCGAGCGATGCGGAGAAGTCTGGTCGCCACTCGTGACCGTGGACGCGGCTTGAGCCAGAAGTGCCCACAGTCGCGGCCGCGCGGAGGAGGAGAACCCGGCGGCGGTGGGGGACAGATGGCTCATTCGGACGCCCCCGGCGTTCTAAGCGCGCACGGCAGCTCCTAGCCGAGTGGTTCAGCCGCAGGGATACAGCTGTGAACAGCCTTGCGGGCTTGCACCTGCAAGTGTAGACGATGGGTGTAGACGATCGGAGTTATAGCGTGGGGTTGAAATGGGCTGAGACAGATCGGCGGTTCTCCTCCAGTCTCCTTGTATTTACTATTTTACTATCTCTGTAGCCAAAGGGTGTGGAATCCGAGGCCTCGCACATGCTCCAGCACGGAGTGACAGCCCCGGTCCTGATCTTCTGTTCTATAAAACCTCCAGCTAAGATCCAGCAAGGGGAAGAGTGACTGATCAGGGATTACGGCCCACATCCTGAAGTTTGGTTTATTTCTTCCAAGTGATGATCAAGTCTCTGTCCAAGCGTTTCAAGCAAGACAACCTTTAGCGGAAGCGCATTGCCATTTTGAGATCTTGCGCTTGTTAGGAAGTGTTTTCAAAACAGCCATTGACAGCACATCACTGTTGGCCTCAGTCTGGCCCTTAGAAAGCAGAGTAAACAGCCGTTCTTCCTGTGCCCCTGTCCCTGAAACATTTGAAACCAGTGATGAGATTCTTCCTTCTCAAAATTTAGAGAATAATTCCTTGTCTTCCAGGCGTTCTTATATGCGGTCTTTTTCTTTTTTTTGTCTATATAATTCTGTTCATTTATTGAAGGGTTAATATGTGCTTTTTTTTTTTTTTTCCCCTCAGTACTGGGGATTGAACTCAGGACCCTGCACTTGCCAGGCAAGCGCTTATTCTACTGAGCTATCTCCCTGGGCTCTGTGCTGTTTGTTTTTGTGAATTGTGTTTTTGGCAGTACTGGGGAATGAAACTAATACCTTCACACTGACCTGTATCCCCCTGTCCTTTAAAAAATTGAGACAGGGTCTTGCAAATTCCTAAGCAGCTCAGACCAGCTTTGAACTTGAGATCTTTCTGCCTCAGCTTCCCAAAGTGCTGGGATTAGAAATGTACCCCACCAAGTCTGGCAAGGCAGCTGTTTTTTAAGTGTTAGGGTTCGTGGTGAACATGTCAGATGGAGAAAGGGGGTACAAAATAAGTGAGCAAATAAATGAAAAGACAATGCCAGAAAGCACTTGGAGATGGAGAGTTGTTACGGGTAACGTGTCAGCAAAGTTCTGTCCACTGGAGGCAGCATTGGAGCAGGAATGGGCATGATGGAAGGGAAGCAGTTGGGCTGAGATGGGGGAAGAGTTTTTGTGCCAAGGGAACTGGAAGGCAAGTGTCCTGTCCCCACGAGGGACTGCCCTTGGCACATAGAAGGACCGGACGTGGCTCAGTCATGGCTGTGTAGGCTGAATGCGGAGAGGTCAGCTTTAGGGGCCCAGCAGGAAGTCAAGGTTGAATTCTTTGTGCTCCTGGACTGCATACTGCTTTATGGTGACAGGAGGCTGGGGAGGGCGGGGAGGCAGGTGGACTCCCCCGGAGGGGTCTTGGGCTAGGCTGGGTGCAGTGGGGGTACCACTGGGGGAGGCCTGAGCTGGGGCTGGCAGGATAGTGACATGTGGTGTGGTGGGGAGAGGACTGTGGTGGAACACGGGAAGGATCAGAGGACCTGGAAGTTTTTAGTCCGAACAACCGGGGGTGTGGGGCAAAAGAAGGATGGGGGAGCAATGGCACATAGTGGGGGAGCGAGGCTACCCCTTTTTAGTTTATTTTTATTTTTTTTTATTTATTTTGGCAGAACCAGGGATTGAACTCAGGCCCTTGCACCTGCCAGGGAAGCGCTTATTCCACTGAGCCATCTCCCTGGCCCCCCCTTTTTAGTTTAGACACTGAAGAGTTGAAGTTCTGATAAGTATCACACAGGTTGAGGGGTCACAGTTTTCTGTATCCAGGCAGGGAGGTGGCCACCAGGGTCATTACCCTGCCTGGGACTAGGGACACTGGGAGCAGAATTGTCACCTGTGGACAGCATTGCTTCAGGAGAATCACAGCTGATGGGCTACATCACTGCGGAATTATGCAGCCTGCTGGGCTGCAGTACAGAATAAACCTAGGATTCCATGGATATGAGTGTGATAAGTAGCATGTGTTTATTGTACAGTGTTAGCTGTTTATGTAGTTTTACTGTTTATTTTAAAAAAATATATGTTTCTAGTCAAGGTGGCACACATCTGTAGTTCCAGCACTTGGGAGGCTAAGGCAGGATTGCTGAGTTCAAGGTCAGCCTGTGCATCATAGTTGAAGGCCAGGCAAAACGGACAAGATTGGGCCCATTCAGGTGATATAGCTGTGGGCTCAAAAACAAATCAAGCAAAATGTATCTTCAGTTTTCTCCTTTTAATGTTTTTACCTTTAAAATTTTAATTTAAATCATGAAAGTTGTGCAGTTGTTGGTAAACAGTGAATAATGCATTGTGAATTACTCATATTTGAGGCTGATAACTCTGGTTCGGTGAGTTTATTTTCCCTCACATAAAACACAGAAATTCAAGAAACTTTGTCAAAGTCTATAAGTATATAAAATAAAAGTCCACAAAATATGTCAGCAGCGGGTTAAAAGAATGGAAGAGTTTCACCTTCTATATTATGTAATTGTGTCAGGTTTCAATTTTCCAATGCTGTATGACCCTGTTATTTTTCTAAGAAAAAAAAAATTTAGGTGAATTGTGTGCATGTGTGAGAATTTGTTTTAAAATAAAATTTCTGTTTTTCTTCAGTGGCTTTCAGACAGGAAAAAGAGAGCATTGCAGAAGAAAGATGTTGGTGAGTATGAAAACCTCTTGCTTCAAGGCCAGCCTAAACTGCATAGCAAGACCCTGTCTCATAAAGAAAGAAAGAAAGAACTAACCCTCCTACTTCAGCTGTGTCAGTTCCCTATCTTTCTGCTGTCCCTCCTTGGTGGTTGTGTGGAAGTGAGAGATTACAGAAATTCTGTGGGAGTAACACAGTAGAAAATGAACATTTTGCCTGTTTTTTGTTTGTATTTTTTTTTTTTTTGCAATGCTGGAGATTGAACCCAGGGCCTCACATATGCTAGGCAGGCTCCTCCCCAAGTGTACTCCCAGCCCTTACAGTTTTTTATTTTGAGACAGGCTCTCCATATGTTGCCCGGGCTGGGCTGCAATTTGTGACTCTCCTGCCTCAGCCTCCCAGCTAGTTGGGATCACAGGTACGAACCACCATCCCTGGCTTCCATTTCTTATGGCAACCTAGGATTTTGGAGACTTAAGTCTGTTTGTTTATATTTGCTTATTTGGTTGACTTGAACTATGGAGCCCAAGTTGGCCTTGAGCTCTCAGCAATCCTCCTGCCTCAGCCTCCCAAGTGCTAGGGTTACCGAGGTGTACCACCATGCATGGCAAGCCTGTTGTTATTTAAGGGGAAAAAAAGGAAATAAAGATTTTTGTTGTAGCTAGGAAGGAGTAAGGACAGTGACTTAAGTTAGCATTTCTTCTGTTCTCCCAAGAGGTTTTAAATACTCAATTGTATGTATGACATATCGTTTCAGATTTTTTTTTTTTTAACTCACAATGATATATTTGCTTTGTGAAGGGTAAAAGGTTTCATCCATGGTCAAGTGGCCTATCCCTTTATAGCTTGTGTGAGACAATATTGTGGCCTTGGGACTAGCGTCACTCAATCACCTTCAGGACCTGAGAACCTTCCGGAGACCTAGCTCTGAGGGCCCACCATGGGGCTCTATTTGGGGCTTCTGGGACTTTACAGACCCAAAATGCAGCAGAGACAGTGGCAGAGACTGTTGTAGCGGCTGAGGGAAATGCTACTGTCTGACCAGAGGCCCGCAGGGTGTGTGATCCCTGTGTGTAGCCACTGTAAACAGCGGCCTGGCAGGCTCCGGGCTCCTGGACAGAGGTATGCTGTGGTGTCCCGCTGGCTCCTGCTTTGCTGTCTTTGCAGATGTCCGAAGGAGGATTGAGCTCATTCAAGACTTCGAAATGCCAACTGTCTGCACCACAATCAAGGTGTCCAAAGATGGGCAGTACATCCTTGCCACGGGTAGGCGTCACCCCAGCTCCGATGTACATGCGTTTCCTAGCAGAGAATATGGCAGTGTCAAAGGTCACTTTCTCTTGAGACAAGATCTAGTTTAGGCTGACTTTAAACTCACTGTGTAGCCCAGGCTCGCCTCAGACTCACAGTGGTCCTCCTGCCTCAGCCTATAATCTCTTGTGTGCTGAGATTATAGGCGTGTGCCATTACCTTTTCTGCTCTGATAGACAAAAACTATTTCACTGTTTTAATCTACACTTGTTACATTATTTGTGAAGCTTCTCAGCTGCTTGTTGACCATTTTCTGTGCCTCATTTATCCTTTGGTCATTTCCCATAGGATATTGGAGGGGCTCTATTTGGGGCTTCCTGCTCGGTGTGGACAATCCTGCCTGCCTCTGAGTGGAAACCACACTTGCACTCTGTGGGGTGTGACCACAAGGAGTGTGTTCTCAGGTTCCACATTGCGGTCATTTTTTTATAGGAACATATAAGCCTCGAGTTCGCTGTTACGACACCTACCAGTTATCCTTGAAGTTTGAAAGGTGTTTAGATTCAGAAGGTAAGAGAATAATTTTGAAGTCATAAGAATAGCTTTTTGTATTTGTCTGCAGTTCTACTTTTGAAAATGAGATTGGATTTTTGCCATCTACAAATGAACACAGTCATAGTGGTTGAAAGCCTCCCCGAAGCAGCTCGCTGCTTCACCCCTGGAAGTCCCTGGTCGCCCAGCCTGTCTGCTTAGCGCAATGTGGGTGTGACTAGCTGGGCCTCAGTGAGAATTTGCTTCCAGACTCTTCTCAGGCTGTGGGAGGAACTCAGTGGTTCGCAGTTGTGGGACTGGGGTGGCATCTCATGCTCCTCTTGGGGCAGAGAGGCTGCCCCTACTCCTTGTCATGTGGCTGCCTACTTTGTCAAGCCAGCAGCTGCTCATTGTATCTTCCTGCTGGTTTAGAGCTCCTCAACTTTTTGTTCTGCCAGTGGAAGAAGACTGCTATGAAGGGACTCATGTGACATAGATGTGTTGTCACCATAATGGAGGTCTCAGCAAGTCCCGTGGTCCACCTGTGCTCTCAGGTGGAGAAAATTGGTCCCTGGTGTGAAGGTCACTGGGGGTAATACTCAGAATCCTCTTCAGGGGCTAGGGAGATAGCTCAGGGGCATAAGTGCCTGCCTGGCAAGCCCAGGGTCCTGAGTTCAAGCCCCAGTTACCAAAAAGAATTCTTTCAGCTTTCCTGTTGAGGTAGGAAACACCTGATGCCCACAGCTTAGCAGAGGTGAGGTTAGATCAGTCTGTGGTTGGCAGCTCCAAGGCAGGAGCATCAGGGTGGAGAGGTGTTGAGCAGATCTGCTCAGTTCATAGTAACCAGGAAGCAGAGCAGGGTAATAGCCAGAGAAGAATGGAAGGGGCAAGATGGAGACCCCAAAGTGACCATAACCACACAGGCACACCCAGGAGTGCCCAGCCCATCCACTGTGTGGCTCCCAAGCCAATTGAAGTAACAGTTAACAAAGAGTTAAAGTGGGAAAGCGTAACTTTTATCAGGGGGCTAGTGGTGGGAATTGAGGGAAGAGAAGTCAGTGATATGTAGAAGTTTAAGCACCTTCTTTTAGCTTCCTAACACTTTGGTTGGTGAAACAGTGGGAACTCTGTATGCCACCATTATTAACTGTTTCTGCTCTTGAATTTTGTCCAGGTGAAAAGTCACTGTTGGGGGTGGGTGTGATCTGTGTGCTATGTGAAAATGCCACACTAGACCCATGTGTGAGTTACTGTTATCCCTTGGGTAATCAGCATTTTAAAACATGTTTTTTAATGTATATTAGAGTCTTAATAAATTAGAATGCACATTTTCTTTAGTTCTGTTCTGCACATATATATTGAGAGACTAAAGCTTTTAGTTTTCCTTTCAGCATTTTGGGGGACAATGTGGCCATTTTGTTCTTGTTCTATATAGGCATAGAAAAAATTTCAGCACAGTTGTGCTGAATTAGAAATTTTGCATCATTTAAATTTTTATTTAAATATTGATAATTTTATTTTTTCCTATTATTTTTCAGTTGTCACCTTTGAAATTTTATCTGATGATTATTCAAAGGTATGTTTGATAGCATTGGTTTCTCTTGGTTATGTTGAGGGAATGAGTGAGTGAAATGTATTTTAGATTTATTTATTTATTTGGTCCAGAGTCTCACTACAAAGCTCATACTCATAGTGATGCTCCTGTCTCAGCCTCCTCAGTGCTGGGATTATAGGCATATGCCACCACACCCAGTTCTGGTGGCTGGCCTAGTGTGGACCCAGCACAGCATGCGATACGAGGGATCGAACCTGGGGCCTTGTGCTTGCTAGTCAGGCACTTAGACTGCCAGGCTACCTCCCCAGCCAGTATTTATTTTTAGATGATAAGTTTTGTTTCCATTATTAAAATAAAAATGTCTGTATAGCAGTAGGTGTTGTTTTCTATCAATACACTCTCAGTTTGCTACATGGATGCTATATAGCAATGATGGTAAACCAGTTGGCATACGTGTTATTTTTTTATAACCAAAGATGTTAATGTAGAGTTGTTTATTTCTAAACTATAACCTCAGTACTCAGGTTAAATTGAGGTGTTGGCACCTACCATAAGTAATTGTGTTTTGGGTTGTGGTTGAGCACTTGGTCTCGAGAAGGTTTATCATCACTGCTCTACAGGGTCTTAAGAAACAATATTCATAGATGCTGGGTGTGATGGTGCACATCTATAATCTGAGCCCTTGGGCAACTGAGACAGCAAGATCACCACAAGGTCAAGGCCAGCCTGGGCCACCTAGTGAGTTCAAGACCATTCTGGATTACATAGCAAGACCCTGTCTCAAAAAAACAAAACAGGGCCGGGGAGATGGCTCAGTGGAATAAGCGCTTCCCTGGCAAGCGCAAGGGCCTGAGTTCAATCCC